CATTTACACACTTTTCCTGAAGATAGAAGTGTTTGTTGAATCTGACGTGACATGTTCGTACGAACCCTTTGTACGAACAAAAGTAAGAGAAATTTAGGAAAAGAATACGAACATGTTCTTGCATGAGGCCCAATGTGTAGCCCTCAAAGTTTGTGTTATGAATGGCCCTCAGCTACTTTACCACACCAAATTTTAGCTCAACAATTGTAATGATGAATAAATTAAAGATATTTTTAATTAGCTTTTAAAAAAATAATCAAAAATACAATGACGAAAAGAACACACTATGTCCTTTTCTCGCACTTCAGCATCTTCACCGGCCAATTTCCAGCTGGATTGTAACATGTAGGTCAGGAATGTGCTGATGCAGCCTTGCAGCATCCTCTGGAACTGGGCCAGAAAGTTGCTTTGATTTGGCCATTTGATCAATTGGACCAGGTTGAGTTTCTACACAACAACTTGCCAAATATTAAGACTCCACCTTATTTCTACGAAAGCTTAAAACAGCCCTCACTGACCAACATGATGCACAAAATTAAAAAAAATCAACATAGATTAACTAAAACAATAAATTCACAAAATACTTAATCTTATAAAAAAAAATAAACTTGCACAGTAAAATCAATAACTAATAGAAATCCAAGATGTTCTATTTTTAACAATTGCTTTATTCTTGTATAAAATGGCCTCCACATTTATAACTCAGTTTTACAGAATGAGCTAAAGTTTGGTAAAAGCTGGACACTAGGCTTGCACACTGAATATCATGTCATAGTAACACCATTTTATTCAGTGTAATATACTTGAAGATAATGAATTAGTCCTGGATACTGGAGTCTACTAAGGAAATGAGTTTTATCAATGTAAAAGTAAAATTAACTATTACAGATATTGAACAGCAAGAGGCAGAGACTACATCCTTGTGGTACACCAAACACAAATATGGAAATAACAGTCCCATTTACAGACAGTGTGCTAAACTTTGGAGTAGTATTAGCTGAGAGTCAACCACAACACATACTCCAAGTACTAATGGATCTTGCAATACTGGATAAGATTATACATAAAGCTATTTTCTTAGGTTTAACCAAAGCAGTTTTATGTGAATTACAGTATATTTGAGTTATGCTTGGTCTTTGTTTTAGTTTTTAATACTTATTTTTTCAACTGAGTTTGTCAGGAATGAGAATCGATTTGAATTTTTATTCATTCAGAAAAATATAGTTAAATAAATTTTACTGTAGATTTCCAGTCATCATTTCAATTTTCCTAAACAAAGGCAATTGAACAAGTTATGATTATTACCACGTCGTCATTGTAAACAAAAGTTTGTTCTCAACTAACTTACCTGTTAAATAAAATTTCATCCTCAAACTAAATTCCCCCCATTTCCTGTTTAGGATATAATTAACTCCATGAGCAACAGTCCGGCCACCAGTAAACCCCCAGTAACCCTGAGGCTCGTGGTCCCTGCCAGCCAATGTGGCTCCCTCATTGGCAAAGGAGGCTCCAAAATTAAAGAAATGAGAGAGGTAAGGAGGGCTTTTCATGTATGTATAATATCCAAACACATTAAATAATCCTAAGATTCCTGTGATCGTGTTCTCCTGATTATTTATTCATGGCTCATCTTATTTCAATATACCCTTCCCCTCCTGCATAACAAGCATGAAGCTCAAAGTTATTTTAATTTCTGCATATTTAGTTTGGAAAAAAAAGGAATCAAGGTCAATAAATGACGTCTTGTGGTTTCATGTTTACCTTCAGTCCACGGGAGCTCAGGTCCAGGTGGCAGGTGACATGCTACCCAACTCCACTGAGAGAGCGGTGACAATCTCCGGAGCCCCAGAAGCCATCATCCAGTGTGTCAAACAGATATGTGTGGTGATGCTGGAGGTACAGTAGGGAGGGGGAGGGGGGCACACAAAGGGGAAATAAAGGAATTTATTTTCTCCACAAAGGCATGAAATAGAAGACACAGAAGACTGCAGCTACAATGTTTTCAGATTAAAATCTCGGTTTTGTTTTGTGATGTTTTAAATTAAAAACAAAAGTTAAATTCTGACTGGAAAAATGAGCTACTTGCTAGTCTGAACGCAACCCAAACTTAAGCAAGCTGCAAATCTGTATACATTTTTTTAAAAGTTAAAGATCGATTTTGTAACTGCATGTCTATAAATGTGTTGTGCTGTTTGTCCCAGCAGATATGCTGTAGCTTCCCATCAGAAACATGTTGTAGAGAAGATATACAATTTCACTTGATCGTTTCTTTGCCATACCCTGAAAAATATGAATATGTGTATATCATGACTTTGTTTAGTACTGATAAAAAACATTTGTGTACAATTTTTAACTATGCTAACCATTATATACAAAATTTTCAATACCTCTATGCTAAATGTTGATCAGCTACCTAATATGGGTTTGACATGTTTCTGGGCCCTTTTTTTCTGGCATGAACATACAGGTGCTGGTCATAAAATTAGAATATCATGAAAAAGTAGATTTATTTCAGTAATTCCATTTAAAAAGTGAAACTTGTATATTATATTCATACATTACATACAAACTCATATATTTCAAATTGTAAGGGTCAGCTTACACTTCTTATAACAAGGTTATAAGAGTAATTTAATTAGCAAGGATCTCTTTTAATG